AAACTGCCAGACCAATCGGGATGCGCAGCACGACTCACGCATGCGCAGTGGGCACCCAGCTGTGAAGCCACAAGCTGTCACAGCCTGGTGCCCACAGCTGAGATGCCGGCGCCAGGGAGAGAAGGGACAGCGCAGGCAAACACATTGCTGGACTCTGGGACAGGCAAGTGTGTGTTTATTAAAAGTCAGCAGCTACAGTTTTTGTAGCTGCTGACTTTTAAGAAAACACAAAAATGACTAGAAATCCGCTTTAATCTGTCTGTTACCTTCCTAGACTAACCTAGCATTACAGCTCTCTTCAATGGGAAGTGAGGTACTACCTAAAGGAGATTTTTTTTTTTTTTTTATAACCAACTGGAGTTCAGCTTTAAACACAACTCTTTTGTACGGGATTCCTTTCTCTGTCTCCATGCAATCAGGAAATTAGGATTGGCTGCTGACAGAATATTGTAATGTTTTATATTTTGTAGACTGATAAATAGGAAACACAGCATAAGAGTATTTCATATTTAAGAGCTGCAGCCAATCAGGTGAAGCTATAAGGTCTTGTGACAGCAAGTTTTCTGCAGTTTTTTTTTTTTCTTCAGTGCTGTAAAGACAATAATTTGAATCCTGGTGGTTTAGCTCAGTTTAAAGACACACAGTCTTTAGGGAGGGATACAACCTCTTCCTCAGGTTCATAAAGCTTTGCATGGAGTATCAATTAGAGAGAGGGAGTCTGTAAGTAAGCAGCTATCACTACTACTAGGCTCCTATTGCTAACCCCTGAATGTTGTCTGAACAATGTCACAAAAGCAACCTGCATGAAATGTCTGTCAAATGAAGATTTTAAACATTCTGATGAAAGTCATACAAAAAAAACGTTTATAAACATTCTTACATTAAATTTGACCAAAAACAATTCTGATTTTCCATCAAGGAATTAGCCAGATTAACTGTAGGATTCTATGACTGATTTACCGGACAGAAAGTTAAAAAGCAGTAGACTACACAGATCAGTTAAACGGTTCATGTAAAAAGTTTTAATAACAGTTCTGGACAATGTGTAAAAGTTCGGGAGATTCTCAAAAAAATTACTATCCTTAATCCCCCCCCCCCCCCAAAAAAATAAAAATTCTGCGACATCACAAGAATAGCTGCTTAGCATGTTAGAGTTTGATTTCTAGACACAGCAACAGAAAAGCTAAAGATCCAAAATTAGATAACAACCAATTGTGACAAGGGCATTTTAGAGCTTGAACAGAACAAAGACAGTCTGCTGCTAGTATGGTCTTCAAAATAGACAATGCTGCCAAAAATGTGGACACCTGACCATCACACATTATATAAACTCGTCTCCAAATGAGAAAGTTAAAATGTTTCTGTTGAAGGGGACAAAGAATTGTACACTCACAACCTTGTGCTAACAGTTTGGGGAAGGCCCTTTTCTGCTTCACCATGACTGTGCCCCTGTACACAAAGCAAGCTCCATAAAGACATGAGATTGGGGTTAATAGAAATGCCAATTTTCAGCATGGCCTGCTGATCCAAAATCCAGCAGCTGATCCAACAAATGCTCTTTTGGCAGAATAGGCTCAAATTCACATAGACAACACTCCAAAATCTTTTGAAGAACCTATCCATAAGAGTGAAGGCTGAAAGCACTTTTGGCTCCACTTCTGTGGGTCACAGGAGCGCACTTAGTCATGCACTCCTATGACCCAGATTCAGTCAACAGTGGGCTAAAGTCTGTTGTTGGATGACGTCACTCAACCAGTCCAGACTCTGACTTTAATGTCAGAATCGGCCCAAATCCATAACCAGCAGTTGACTCAGAATCACAGCATGCTGCTGAGATCCTGGTCCAGCCATTGCAGTCTCCCTGCACAAACAGATGCTCCAGTAAGCACTGAAGAGACAGAGTACAGAGAAGTCATTGACAGCCACCGCTCTCTGCTCCGAGGGGACCGAGAACTGAGCGATCAGCGGTCTTTGATCGCTCAGTTTTCAAGCTTGGAGGCAGCGGGGGGGACCGATGTTGCAGACAACTAGGCAAGTATGTACATTTATTATTTTGAAAACCCACAATTGTCTTAATACCTGTGTAGTTTAAGAATGGTATAATCAAGAAGCTCACATAGGTGAGATGGCCAAGTATCCACAAAGTTTTAGCCATATAGTTTACATAGATATTGATTTTTGGCGTGTCAGCTTGGCCTTAGTTAGGATGTGCATGATTGCTAACATCTCTAAACTACAAGTGCTGGAGGTTGAGATTTAACAGAAGGACATCTGTAATTCATATGCAAACATCACATAGACATCTGCTATTGGATACAAATGCTGATGACCTTTGATTAACATTCTCCTGCACAATAAGGATAATATAGTCTAAAACATTATTTTCCAGCACACATGACTTCCGGTCCAGTAATTCAACAGTAGAAAACTGTCAATTTGTTGTCTAATCTAGCAGCTCACATAAAAGAAGCAGCTATGCAGCAAAGTTCCATAAGATGGCAAATATTTCAACTTCTGTACAGGCACAGGAACATTTCAATACAACATCATTTAACTCGTTTAAGAGGTACAGTGGCCCTTGAAAGAGGAGAAACATTGCAGCTCTCCCCATGGCAACAAATCAATTTACAGATTATATTTAATAATTTTCACAAAAAATCCAGGAGGTAGCACCGATTGGTCAGGACAGACCTCAGCTCCACTTTTTGCTACAATGAGAACTGCAGAGTTACTGAATTTATTCTGTTATACCTTTAAATATAATTTGTTAGTAAACAGGCAACCATCAAAAACATAATTCCGGCTGACAGACATGGCAAACTAAAGGATATTTACAAAATATTTAAATATACAATATAGCATGAGACAATGTGAAAATACAAATTTAACACATCCTCTAAGGCTTTGAATAACAAATTTACACCAATGTTTAACAACTTGTTTTTTTTTTTTCGTTTATATATTGCATTGAGACAGTTGAAACATTGACCCCATCCAGGACAGGTGCATTAATGTTAAGGAATGATTTCCTAGGACTGGTGACACTGGCGTAGCATGAGGCACTTTGTGCCATTAGATATCACATATTCCAAGTACACATAATGGATGCCTCCTCAGCATATGTGTGGCAGATTTTTAGTTTCAATGGAAATGCTTTATTCGTTTCTGGACCTTAGCTTTCCCTCTGTGCAGTTTAAAGTGGCACTAAAGGCATTAAGCTTTTTACCACCTTAATGCATTCATGCATCAAGGTAAAAACCTTCTGCACGCAGCTCCTCCCTAGCCACCCCTTATACTTGCCTGAACCTGATCTCCATTCAGCACTGTGCATGGGAGCAGGGGCGCTCTCTCTTTGGCTCCTCACTGGCTCAGAGGAGGATACAAGGGGTGGGGCCGAGTTGTGTGCTGTGCATTAATGAACACACAGACGGCTCGGGAGCGATCCTACAGAGGTGATCCCATAGCAAACGACTTGCTGTGGGAGGGGGGCCTCAAAAGCACCAGCGAGGGACTCCAGAAAAGGAGGATCAAGGCTACTCTGTGCAAAACCATTACAGAAGAGGCAAGTATAACGTTATTAAAAAAAAAAAATAATAAAATATATATATATCTCTCCTTTTAAAGACACTTTAAAGTTAGTTCTCACTAACTGTTGTATATTATAGAATGTTATTATACTGGACAAGTAGGAGCTGCACGACCAGATTTCACCAACAGGTGGCCCTGCACAGAAAGGTAGCATTGCAGCTCTTGAACCCGTTAAGTCCCAAAACCAAGGAAAGTGAGCCCCCCCATTACTAAATGGAGGTAAGCAACAAATGATGGATTTCCACCTTCTTACACTGAAGCTTCTTTAAAAAAGGGAAGTAAAAGGGTGACCAAGTTTTAACAAAAAGGAAAAAAAAATCTGAAATATTTAATTAAACCTAGGCTAATTTTTCATTTTTGGTGAATGAGGACATGGTTCAGTCTGGATCTTCATATTTGTTTGGTTATATGACACCAATCCAGATGACGGTGACAGACCGAACTTGGGTTTTCAGCCAAGTGACATATCATTGGCCACAACTCTCCATATATTCCAATAGATGATCCACTAGTGGGCACATTTCTTTTCTTACTAGTAGATTCTCCATCAGAATGTAGGGTAAATTCAGCCCATTTCCATGATACCAATATTTTTACTGTCCCCGGTTCCATGAACACTACGCAAGTAACTGTTTTCTTTAATAAACTCCACATACCTTAATTTGCCTTAAAAATCTGCAGTCACGTGCCAGTTAAGGCTCCATAGGAGACCAGCATTGTACACATGCAATAAAGCTAGAAATGTGCTTCTTTGCTATAGGACTACATATCCCATGAGGTAATGCACATTGCTAACCGGCTGGACAAAGGTGTTGGCGTTTGTCATGGGGGGGGGGGGGTTGTGAAGTTCAGGATTCTGCAATTTATAACTTACCCATAGGGTAGGTTCATGACAGTCAGGCTGAGGAGTGAATGACTAAGTGATGCAGGGTGTCATCTTGCCAAGTAATGGGCCCAGCACATATTCCATGGCAAGTTCTGAGGCCCCAAAGAGAGGCCATAGGGATATCATGCATACTGAGCATTTACAACCAGGTACATTAATTTTTTCTGAGGATGGATTTGGGCTTTAAAATGCTTATTAAGCCATTGTGGAGATGCGGGGAGGTTTCCCCTTTTGGGACCCAGGCAGAAGATCCACCATTGGACTAAGCTTTGCCCCTCTCCAACCAAAGCCCTATCTGGGAGTAGGTGGCCAAAGATCACATTGACTTGATGAAGATCACAGATGAACGGAATGCTTTTGTATTGCCGACAAAACTGATAAAAAGGAGGTGTAACTAGACATGCACAGAGAAATAAGAATAACAAAGCCTTATTTTGAACAAAATTTTCAGTCAGCAAAATATGATACTTGGAAAAAAAAACACTTGAATTCCCACTACTAGCCCACATTTAATTCTGGTCCCACGTCATGGGTCTTGGGCTTCTTCAGAGTCCTTGTTTTGGGGTGGAGGGGCAACTTTCTGAGGTAACTCTAGTCGGGCCCAGGTCATTGGCTCGGCCTTTTTCAAGAAAACTTCCACCTTTGTTGCTGTTAAGCTCACATAACTTTTTTGGACATCAATGACCTGATAATATAAGGATTAAAGTGAACAAAAAAAAAAAAAAAAAAAAAAAAACTTTCCATAAAAAGTTGCACATAATTTGTAAAGGTGAAATGACAGCTGAATAGCACCAGGTGGTTGTGAATATACTTAACGGTCAACTTTAGCCAAAACGTTTTATTGTGTCTTTGAAAGAACAAATGAGCCCCTGCGTCGTATTGTCATGGGTTACAACTGACAACTTTTATATCTGTCTGCACCATCCGGTTGGAGTTACAACTAATCCCCCCATTTATTGTATGGGTGTCACAGGGACATAAAGTAAGCTGATAGAACTGTAACTCTTCTTCCCTCTATTCAAAGCGGGAGTGACCGTGACGTAACGTGTAGGGCGTGAGCGGAGGCAGACGCAGATCGGAAGCGGCATAATAGGAAGCCCAGCATCTGGTTTCTTTCATGGTTTTTATGCAATTTCTCGTTATATTCTTTATGTGAGTGCAAATGATAAAAAATTGGCTATTTTATATAAATACTACACTATGGGAGCCCACTGTCTTTGCTTTATCCAATGTGAGCAAGGTATAATGGCAGCATAAGTGCTGAGGAATCTTAAAGGGGCTGCACACTGTAATCCTTGGAGATACTGTGAAGAGCATCTAGAGTCCTTAGTGGACAGGAGGCTGAAGTGGTCCTTTCTTAAGAAGCTAAGAATCCATAGTGTCTGATTGATACATGTCTATTTTATTAATAATCAATGGAATACTGAGGTAATATTATGAAGCAGAGATTATTGAAGAGACTTATCTGGAGGATTGTTGCACATTTATGAACGGATTTCACATTATTTACACAGCATTTTATTTATTTTAGGATTCTATATTTTTTTTATCATGTGGTTCTATATATCAGTATTTATATGTGGTGTTATATACTGGTTTATGCATGTACACACAGTAATGAAGTTTCCAGCATGGTTTGATTTGTACCAGCAGCGCTACACTAGTACAAATTTTAGCATCTATTTAATTTGTGGGAACACAAATTTGTGTTAGCAGCAGCTGGTTATATATGTTTTAAAAGGATAAGTTCACCTTTTGCAGGTAATATTTTTGGATGCAGGAGCATGTAAACCATGGCACCAGCGATCAGCAGATCGCAGGTGACATGCAGGTCTCCTGCAGATTGTCAGTATATCTGCTTGCCTGTATGAGATGTATGGGCAAGCAGATATACTGACAGGAAGATTCAATGAACTACCACGGCGCTTCACAGCATGGCCGCTGTGTTTTTTAAAAAGTGACCACTGGTATGGGGAACTTCTCCCCATACTTCTGCCGTTTTAATTGGCTGGGCTGAGGCAACATCCCTTCCATGCATACGCGGAGTGCAGTCATCTGGTCTAATCCAAAATTAGGCACTGAGGTGCGCATGCGCAGCTCAGTGTACAGCAATGGACAGGCAGTTAAGAATCTTTAATGCAGACAAGAAACCGTATGTCCTACATTAAAAATTCTGGCTGTCCAACTTTTTTACATTTTTTTTTCCCCCACTTAAAAATTTTATTGATTTCAACAAAAAGGTGATCCAGAGTAATAAAAGCATTTAGAACTGCTGTAATTATATTTCTGAGCAGATGGCATTCAGGTAACACACTATAGGTCATATATACAGGATGCACACCAGTGAGAGATGGCATGCATCCTGACCAGGGTGTCAACCAAAGATAGAAAGAAAAAAAAAAAAAAAAAAAAAAGAGACCTACATAAGGTACGTTGAAGCAATTCAAGCCAAGTATTGTCATAATATAATCACAGATGGGGGTGCTCAGATGGGTGATGAGGGTCACTGGAGAGATCATTTAGCCAGGGTGACCAATCTGCTAGAAATTTGGAGATTTTTAAATGAGCTTTAGCAAACATATATTCCATATTTAGATTCTGCTTAAATTTTTTTTTATTTATTTAAAGTTCTACTTTAATGAGATGACATAATTTGCTGCTGATTGTGTACAATTCAGTCAGATGTTGATGGTGGTGACCTTGCTGCGTTATACTAAATCGGCTAGAAAAAGCTAAAAAGGAGCACAACAAAGCTAAGGAACAATACTTACTCCCCATAACTGTAGATGCTGCTGGAATTCTTTCTCACCATCAAACACTATGTGAATGTTGACCTGGAAGAAAATAAAGGCACATGCTAGCAAAATGTCATAGTAATGGTTAATGTGCTGGCCCAAACAATAGTTTATCTTATCTAATGTGACTTAATCAAATGTAGTGAGATGTTCTTTCATTTTACAACGTAAGGCGAGAGAACAGACCAATTCAAGCAAACATTAACCCTTTCTAGACCAGGGTCCGTTATTGCCTTGATGACCTGGCTAATTAAGTAGTGTCATCATGAGTTGGTTACTGACGATAACTAATATTGCATTTGCATAGGTAACAATTTGTCAGAAATTTTTAAAATTGATTCCAGGTATGGATACTGTTACATAGTTAGAGTACATTGGTCCAGCCTGGACCAATGCATATATCATACCTGTGGTATACCTCTAGAACAGCCTCCCTCAACCTTTACAACACAGAGGAACCTTTGAATTAAAGGATAAGTTCACCTTTTGTAACATGGTACACCCGTATACACGGTGTAAAATCTAACATGTTAGCCCATATGTTTCCAGCGAGGCCTCCATAAGATGCAATCCTGGCTAAAGCTAGAACAATGCCAAACTTGTCTGCGGACAATGTGCGAATTCCCGTTTCCTGTCTTTTCTGCTGAGGTCCAGCGACAACAGGCAAAATTCCTGGACATTACGAAGAGGCTGTGCATCCTCAGTGTCCAATACTTCATGCTGTAACCTGCTAAATTGAAGGTCATCGCCAATGGCACTACCCAGTTTTTTGATAATCCTTCTGTGGTTGTAAACTGGCTGGACAGAGGAGCGTAACCTAGCACGCCGATCTCCACCATGGTTAGCTGGGTGCTTTCTATATACCTAGTGCATTGTTTTTCATTTTTTGAATGATGGATTTTGTTAGGCTGCTACAAATGATATGCCCTGCCATCTGTTTAGCACTAACATTTTTCACTGTTTTTTTTTTATGAGTGATGACTTGCTAGTACACACCTGTTTATGTACCTTCAGGTTAGTGTTTCCCCCACTTCATAGTGCTTTGTGGACCCCACAGATTTGTATTGATGTGGTACCTAGTCCTAGTTTGGTTGGTCCAGTTTTGTTTTTTATAGTTGCTGCACTTGTTTTTTATTTAGGGTGCTCATTTTATAGCCCTCAAATGTTATGCCACTGAATTTCCCCCGGTCTTCATTTTGGCTACTGGAGTATTATAGCAAATGAAAAAAATAGTAAGTGGAGATCCTCCTGCGCTGCCAAGAGTGAAGGAATAATGATAAGTAGCCAACACCCTATCCTATACCTAAACCAGGACAATGCAATATAAAAAAAAAAATGCTGGACAAAATGTAAATATGTAAAAATATCCATATCTGGAATTCCTCCTTAAAGTGTTACTAAACCCAGGACCCTACATTCAGTATCTGGTCTCCCACAGTACACACAACATGGAAGTGCAATTATGTTAGTAAATATAGACTGCTAAATAACTTTTCTCATCAGCAGTTAGAGCAGTCCTGTGACTTTTAGAAGTGTCCAGCAGAGCACTGGTTAAAGCTTGTAGAAGGGTTTTCTTTCTGCTCTAGGAGGATGCAAAACCCCTGGCCTGCCTTGACAGTACTGATAGGCCCTATACTGATCACATGCACGCTAGCAAGGGAGAAAAAAAAAAAAAAAAAAAAACCTCTCTAGCAATACACACCAAACTGAGCTTGTGCAGCGTTGCCACACGAGATGTCTTTTCAGTAGATAAGAGGGAGACACTGGAAGAGGGGGAGGATCAGAGAAGTCAGGATCAAACAGCATTTTTAAACAATGCAGAGGCTTAACCCCTTAGGTTCAACAGTGAGTGTACAAGCATGCTTTACTGCATATACAGACTGATCTTACTGTTGTGGGTTTAGTAACACTTTAAGGACACAAGGGTTTTTTTTACATATACAATTTTTAATACTATATTTAAATGTGTCACAGGACTGCCTAGAGGCACAGTACCATCTGCATACTAGAGGATTATTTTGTGAACAAACCTTCCATCAAGATCATAGCTGACATAGCTATCACATTAAAGGAAACTACTTGTGATCACATGAGGGGACAGGAGCTGTCAGGGACAAGTATCAAATGAATAATGCAAGAATACTATATACACGTTGACCACACCAAGGAAACAAAGGCAGTAAGCATGTGCCAAAATGATAAAAACTTAACTTTTGCAAATCCAAGAAATAAGGGGTTTATTCCTCATTTTAGGAGAATTGCCAGGGCTATGCAAATCATTTTTGCTCCTGACTCAACTGTGTTCAGAAATACTGGATTACAGCACATATACATTCCAAAGTTATAGAGCCATCTATTTCAAACCACAACTTGAAAGCCTTGGCATAGGTCAACTGCATCTTTCACATGTTCAGTAATAGGATTAAATGACTTTTAATCACATACTTGGAAAATCTCTTCAATGAACGCCACACACCTTTTCTGTACAACATGTAATTATTGTTCACATAGCTACTGAGGGGTTACAGCCAACCACAGTGAGATAACCATTGCTGAAACCTACCACAGTGCTATTGGCCTCTACATAGCTGAGCTCAGGAACAGAATTCTTTGCATAGATTGAGATGGTGACACCTCCACCTGTCTGATGCCAGTCATGCCGACATGGGACAACCTTTTTACCCTGAAAAAATAAACAAACATGTTAGATTTTTTTACGTCACATATTAGTCACTGTCGGAATGGTTTTTGAAGTTGAAAATCATTTTAGTTCTGAAAACTAAATGTCAAATAAAAATCAAGCGCTGTGTAAGTGAATAAGAAAGGACTAGCTGCTAGCATAAAAAGGTAACCTCTAAAACCTCAAAAATAAGCCATAAAACAAATGCAGCGCTAATAAGTATAAAACACATTCATGTGAATAAATAGGACAATACAAATAAATAAAATAGGCAAGTAAAAATGAATGATTGAAAGTCAAGCCTCATGAAGTGCAAGGCGGCGTGAGTAATGTGAAAAAGTCAATAAAGTTAATAGTAAGATAATCGTGACTCCTGTGATGGTGGAAATAGGTGTAGATTGCACTAACCAGATAGCAGAAGTGCTTGCGCATGGAGTAAATAAGACCCACTCCTGGTACTCTGGATCTGGAACACTTGTAGTGGTGGTGGTCATCTGTATAACAGCCACATGGTGTCGTGCATCATGAATCCAGGGACAACTTCAAGCAGTACCAATATCAGCCACCAGGAGGATCATCCAAGATACCAGACATCAATAAGGCAGGAGTCAGGAACCACCTTCTGAAAAGGGGGGCTCCAATGCAGAAGAAGGGGAGCCCCAGACAAAGCCTCTGACAGTGTAGTATATATTTTAATGGTAGAAATGCACATAACATAAAAACACACTTACAATGAGATTCCAAAAATGGCCGCCGGCCGTCTGTTACAGGCCATGTGGTCTGGTATAGCAGATAAAGGGCACCTCCCTGACGTGTTTCGTGTACAAGACACATTATCAAAGGGCAGGGCAGGGCAGAAGGTGCTTCCTGACTCCTGCCTTATTGATGTCTTGTATCTTGGATGATCCTCCTGGTGGCTGATATTGGTACTGCTTGACATTGTCCCTGGATTCATGATGCACGACACCATGTGGCTGTTATACAGATGACCACCACCACTACAAGTGTTCCAGATCCAGAGAACCAGGAGTGGGTCTTATTTACTCCATGTGCAAGCACTTTTGCTATCTGATTAGTGCAATCTACACCTACTTCTACCATCACAGGAGTCACGATTATCTTACTATTAACTTTATTGACTTTTTCACATTACTCACGCCTTCTTGCACTTCATGAGGCTTGACTTTCAATCATTCATTTTTACCTGCCTATTTTATTTATTTTTATTGTCCTATTTATTCACATGAATGTGTTTTATACTTATTAGCGCTGCATTTATTGTTTTATGGCTTATTAGTTCTGAAAACTACTTACAACCCCCAAATAGGATATATTTTCTGAAATCAGACACCCTGGAGAATAAAATAGTGGTGCTTCCAATAATTTATGTTACATGATATTAGTGTAACGGTTTATGAAACTCAAAATTTCAGTAAAAAAGTTATTTAGGACACACAAACATCAAGGTTTAAAATTATATGCACCTGTGAAACAGCAACAAACTTGGGCACCCTATATTTTCCATAAACAACTGTTTAAACATGCCTACAGGTCATCAGCTTAGAGTTAGCTATGAACAATGAGCCAAGCATTACTGTTCTCACCCCAGCATGCATGGCAATATGCAACATGTATCGTGAGTTAACATTTGTGTGATGCATGTATGTGGGGGGTGGTATCAAAAAAAAAATTTCGGGGAGGGGGTTTAAGTGCTTGGGTGCACCTTTAATTTTTAATGTTTTCTACTAATATATTTATCACATGACAGGTTTTCTTTAATGAGACTTCACACCTGGGGAAGGTAGGGGGACCTTACACTTACAGATGGGTGTGGAAGTGAACCGGGAGATGCACAGCTGCCAGATTGTGTAAATTGACAAGCTGATTGTCAAATGGAAGTACAGTTCCAGTGGCTGCAGTTGCCATCTGTGCATGTAAACCCCCCCCCGCCACTGGTCTATGACGTTCATGGTAAAAGGGTTAAAATGTATCTAAACCACCAAACAAAAAATATAATAAATTGCAAATTACCAGTCCTTAGATGTGGTGGTTGCATGAATTCTCACTTTTCAAGCAAACATTTTTAGCAAGTACAGAAAAAACCTGTTGATCTTGCCAGAAATGCAAGAGCTTTGTCACTTGCTGTGAGCTGAAAAGAAAGCAAAAACTATGTAAAATTCTAGTCCCATCAATCCACCATCTAGTAGAGTTGAAAAATGGCAGACATGTTTGTCCAAGTCCAAGCCGTGGGCTAACCATAGCTCCCTCCATAGACAGCCTGGAGAAGTGAGTGTAGACATAAAAGGCACAAGTGTGTGATATGCAGCTTCAACATCTGAAGATACAGGAAAAAGCCTGGAAAAAAAGAAACTAATACAGCCACCACATCGAAGGACATTAAAATTGATTTGAAATTTAGGTATGCTTCTATGGATAATGACTAAAAAGTTAGTTACCAAAGAAATGTTCCAATAAATACAAACACTTCTATTATACCAACATCATTGCACCAATGTAATAAAGAAAGGAAATACACTCACTGGATGCTATTATTAAAAAAACTCAAAATAATAATAAAAATGTGAAAAATATACAAATCACAAATAATATTATTATATTATTATTATTATTTATTATATTATTTGTGTGATTTGTATATTTTTCACATTTTTATTATTATTTCTATGGATAATGACTTTCAAGCTCTCCAGTCTCTGGCATGCAGACACAAAGTCTTGTATACAACTCATGGCTTTGCAAGAAATATAGGAATAGGATTTAAAAAGGATGTGTAGCTTAAAATAAAAGTGACAGCCTTTATTTATTTTTTTTTTAATCCCTACACCCCCATACACAAAGTCATTCCAATTAGGTAAAGTCCTTACACTTCCTGGTAGTGTTAAAGCTTGCCCAAGCCACCTGTCTCCCACATATTACAATTAGTCCAACACAGTGATATGTTGGAATGCATTAGGAGTCAGGATGGACATGTAAGCTTTGAAACCACCTGTCAAAAATGCTTAGCATTCCAGCCAAGTTGGAGCAGCAATTTTTCTTTTTAAATTTAAAGCTGAACTCTGGGCACAAATACATTACTCAATAGCCACAAACGATGAGACTCCACTTTGTGCGCACCACATTCCTTCGCAAAACCCAGTCATTAGCTTGTAAACGTCGCAGTGAAATCACTATGCTGATCATAGTCTGTGCAATAAGCCAGTGTTTTTCAACCTTTTTTGTGCAAAGGCACACTTTTTTCATGAAAAAAATCACGAGGCACACCACCATTAGAAAATGTTAAAAAAATTTACCTCTGTGCCTATATTGACTATATATAAAGTAATTCTCTTGAATAGGAATCAAACACAAAGAAATTATTTTAAAATTAATTACTTTATTATGAAATAATAAAGTATTTTATAATTGGACCCGGGGGCCGGACCAAGAGTAGATGAATGATGTGTATGTGTCATCCATAGTAAGTATAGTAATATTCCCCCATAGTAAGCATAGTAATTAATCCCCCATATAGTAATTCATCCCCCATAGTAATTAATCCCCCATATAGTAATTCATCCCCCATAGTAATTCATCCTCCATATAGTAATTCATCCCCCATAGTAATTCATCCCCCATAGTAATTAATCCCCCATATATATAATTCATCCCCCATAGTAATTCATCCCCCATAGTAATTAATCCCCCATATAGTAATTCATCCCCCATAGTAATTAATCCCCCATATAGTAATTCATCCCCCATATAGTAATTCATCCCCCATATAATTCATCCCCCATATAGTAATTCATCCCCCATAGTGTAATTCATCCCCCATAGTGTAATTCATCCCCCATAGTAATTCATCCCCCATATAGTAATTCATCCCCCATATAGTAATTCATCCCCCATATAGTAATTCATCCTCCATATAGTAATTCATCCCCCATAGTAATTCATCCCCCATATAGTAATTCATCCCCCATAGCAATTCATCCCCCGTATAGTATTTCATCCCTCGTATAGTATTTCATCCCCCGTATAGTATTTCATCCCCCGTATAGTATTTCATCCCCCATATAGTATTTCATCCCCCATATAGTATTTCATCCCTCATATAGTATTTCATCCCCCATATAGTAATTCATCCCTCATATAGTATTTCACCCTCATATAGTATTTCATCCCCCCATATAGTATTTTCATCCCTCATATAGTATTTCATCCCCCCATATAGTATTTCATCCCTCATATAGTATTTCATCCCTCATATAGTAATTCATCCCTCATATAGTATTTCATCCCCCCATATAGTAATTCATCCCTCATATAGTATTTCATCCCCCCATATAGTATTTCATCCCCCCATATAGTATTTCATCCCTCATATAGTAATTCATCCCTCATCATATAGTATTTCATCCCCCCATATAGTATTTCATCCCCCCATATAGTATTTCATCCCCCCATATAGTATTTTTCATCCCTCATATAGTAATTCATCCCTCATATATAGTATTTCATCCCTCATATAGTATTTCATCCCTCATATAGTATTTCATCCCCCATATAGTATTTCATCCCCCCATATAGTATTTCATCCCCTCATATAGTATTTCATCCCTCATATAGTATTTCATCCCCCCATATAGTATTTCATCCCTCATACAGTAATTCATCCCTCCATATAGTAATTCATCCCCCATATAGTATTTCATCCCTCATATAGTATTTCATCCCCCCATATAGTATTTCATCCCTCATATAGTAATTCATCCCCCCATATAGTATTTCATCCCCCCATATAGTATTTCATCCCCCCATATAGTATTTCATCCCTCATATAGTAATTCATCCCTGATATAGTAATTCATCCCCCATATAGTATTTCATCCCCCCATATAGTATTTCATCCCTCATAAAGTAATTCATCCCTCATATAGTATTTCATCCCCCACAGTACTATTCCCCCCCCCCCTTCTAGTAAGCCAAGTCCCCCGTGTCAATTCACTTACCTTTTGCGTTCCTCTCGCTGTCTTCCCGCGCCGTTCGGGTCTTCAGGGCGGACTGTGAGAGGAGCCTAGCTCCCCTCCCCTCACGTTCGGCACGCTGCCCCGCCTACACACATCCTGACAGCCACATCCGCAAGCCGGATTAAAAGGTCCGCGCGGACTTTTGGGGCTGCCAACCGAGAGGAGGCAGGGGAGCGGCCGACCGAGAGGAGGGAGGGGAGCAGGCGCCCGGCACACAGAAGAGCCGCATTAGACTGGGTAAAGAGCCGCATGTGGCTCGCGAGCCGCGGCTTGCCGACCACTGAATCATTAGATTCTAATGATTGGTCTATTTGTGAGCCGAAGCCACATGTTACAGATGAAATTGGAATTTTTCCCCACGGCACACCAGACAATATCTCACGGCACACTAGTGTGCCGCGGCACAGTGGTTGAAAAACGCTGCAATAAGCAAAGCAGTAGGAGGGATCCAGCAGACCCTGCCCACTACAGGTTGCCTGCAAAAAAAACTACAGGAGGGAGCAGCGACCAGACCAGCCACCCTGCACATGGAGAGAAAGCAGCAGTGATCAGTCCTTATTACAAAGGGATCCTGCACAGAGGTTTCACACTGGATTACAGCACAGATCTGGAAGAAATACACAAAGCACACTAATATTCAAGGAAGAATGCACAAGCCCTTTGTGTTCTGGACAATATTAGTTCACCTTGCAGCTGACACTTTAAAGAGTGATTCCAGGTAACCATATACATGTATGCATGAACAGCAAACAATAGTCAGAAAACACAGCAAATCTGTTGAAATGAATTTGTATTCTGTGCAATCATCTGAAGTCTGATTCCAGAGAACACCTCTTATAGTGTGGGACAAGTTCCCAGAGCTTTACTACATTACTTTCTCATCACAAGTCAGATTAAAGCAGAGTTCCACCTAAAAAAAAAATAAAAGTCAGCAGCTACAAAAACTGTAGCTGCTGACTTTTAAAAAAAATGCAGCCACTTACCTGTCCCTTGGTCCAGCGGTGTCTTCACCACCGCTGATTTCACCGGCTGTCTTCTCTCCCTGGCACCGGCATCTTCAGTGTGGGCACCCGGCTGTGACAGCTTGTGGCTTCACAGCCGGGAGCCCACTGCGCATGCGTGAGAAGCGCCGCGTTTTGTGAATGGCCTCAGTCTTCTGGGACCTGTCATGTGTCCCAGAAGACTACAGGGAGGGAAGGGGGGGGGGGGGGGGGGGGGGGAAAGACTACTTCCGCTCCCCAGACCTGCACAAATGGTTCCAAATAAAATGATGCACTAATCACAAAGAAAAAAAAAAAAGCTTTAATTTGCCAGAGACAAATTTTCTTTTATTTGCGTTGTCCATGTTAAGAGCAGTGAGCTAGGTGAGGTGAGCTTTCAATCAAGAAGATTCAAGTTGGTGAATTTAGTAGTGATTCACTGCAAAGTCTTCTCATCCCACTGTAGTGCAGCCAGGTACAGCCTCTATGGGGATGACAACGTTGCTCTGAATTCAAGAGCAGTACAAGAGTGTTGTCACCATCACAGGAAAAATCACTGGCAGAATCATTTCAATATTTATGGGACTTTGCAGGGAGACTAACAGTGCAGATACACTTACAAGCGCCTTGCACACAGGGACACTTAGAAGCAGTTTACCCCTCCTGGCGTTTCACTGCACAGGTACAGCGTGCAGCCCATCTACAGGCATGTCAAAATCCATGGTAGCCGCGCTTAGGGCCATGTATGTACAAGCTTTCCGGACCTTCGTATTCCGCTACAGCAAAATATGAGCATATTCCGCTACAGTGTGTACTTGTTTCAATTAAGAGCACCAAGTGTCATTCCTGCCTGCTGCATCATTCCTCTGCCATCACAGCATGAATCAGCGCTGACACATTTTCCTGACACCAAGAGAAGAATGGTAACAGGGAGGGACCTCCAGCAGACTGACATCCTCCGCTCTGTTCCTGTGAACTGTGTGAAGGGGGAGGGTGTCCCTTCCCTCCAATCAGTTCTCAGATTGTAACTTCAGCTCTCTGCCCCTTTTTTCTGAATTCTCAGGCAAGCATGATAAATCCAGCACTTTGAACAGATGTAGAGAAGAGAAGGCTGCAGATAGACAAGTACAACTTCTGAGGGAGGATTTGTTTCATCTTAGTGTATCACCTGAGGTCAGATACTTGAATAGGTATATGTAAGGGTTTACAACCACTTTAAAGTGGTTGCAAAGGCTCAAGGTTTTTTACCTTCATGCATTCTATGCATGAAGGTAAAAAAAAACGGTGTGCAGCATCCCCCCAGTCCTTCCTAATACTCACCCAAGCCCCCTCTCTCTATCCAGCGATGTGCACTGGAGTCACAGCTATCCCAGGACCCCCTCTTCTCATTGGCTGGCACAGCAGCAGGAGCCATTGGCTTCCGCTGTTGCCAATCAAAGCCAATGAGAAGAGAGAGGGAGCGGGGCCGAGTCACAGCTCCATGTGTGAATTGACACACAAAGCAGTGGCTGGGGACTGCTCATGCTCGGGTGCCCCCATAGCGAGCTGTTTGCTATGGGGGCAACCAACAGGAGGGAGGGGCCAAGAGCACCGGCGGGGGACCCGAGAAGAGGAGGAGGATCCAGGCTGCTCTGTGCAAAATCACGGCACACAGCAGGTAAGTATAGACATGTTTATTAAAAACAAAAAAATTAAGCCTTTGGAATCACTTTAAGTTATACATTCCAGGGCAATAGAAAACCATCTGCATTCTGCAAAATGCCAAAGCAGAGAGCTCCCTGGTCTTCTATGCCCAGTATGGTTCCCTACACTTTCCCCAGTTAGATTTTCTAATCTCTTCAACCAACACCACACACAGAGAAAACATCAGGCTTGGATAGATTTGGATGTAGGCCCTTTCACGTTATCAATTCAATCAGGTCCGCCTGTCTGTTTTTCAGGGAGACACGATCAGACCCCCTTTTCATCTACCCCCAAAATGATGCCCCAAAAAGAAATGGAAGTGGATTTGTCCCCCTCCGTCTAGGTGGATCGGATCTGAGGGCAGTCGGATGTAATTGGACAGCCGGTCTGTTTACACCCAACCACCCCATAGAGCAGAGTGGGCTGTGTCCCTGTTTTCTCTGCATAATCGGAACAGACGTGGACCTGACATCCTCCCCGCTCTGCTCAGCGGGGGACCAGAAAACAGATCCTCCACTGAGCAAGTGGATTCACATAGTGCGAAAGGGGCCTAACCAGTACAAGATTACATAAAAGTGGCACTTCCAAAAGCGCTATGAATTTCTGCCAATATTTGCTTCTATTAAACAGGGAGACAGGGAGACATTGTAACAAGAGGTTCAACCTTTTAACTTACATCGTTCTTTTTAATCCACAAATGTGAGCCCCTCGAGCACCCTTCCTGCGATAAAAACGTATTAAAATCTGACGTTTTCCTCTTGCAGCAACTCCAATATTTCATCCTAGCAAATTTCAAGGAAAAAAAAAATGTAACTAATCAGCAAAAAACATAATGGTCCTTCTTGCCTTCTCTCACAGAACCTAGAGGATACTTATAAACAGCCAGCGCACTTGAAATTTATATTTTTAGGTAAAGGTGGCACCTATTAAATCAACTGCATGTCAGGGACACACTAAGATTTAGACTTTCCTACCATAATTTCCAACAGGGTTTCTGGCCACCTTGGAGATTTGGATGTTTCTACTCCCTGTCACAATCTCCAGAAAAACAGATAAATATCTACCAACTAGTGAGTGTTGGTACCTGCCAATAACCGCTACAGCAGGTGTGACAAGTGGGGAACTCGTTATAGAGATCTCACAGGAGTTCTGAGTGGGGAAAAAAAAAAAATTTTGGTAACTAAGTGCAACTAAAGGCAAAACTTTTTTTTTTTAGTTTTGGATAGGGTAGAGATGGATTATAACACCTATTACATTTGAAGAAATTCCCAAACATTGAGTTGTCCCCAGAAAAGTAATAGAGGGGAAATCTTCCAATGGGGACATCAGTTCTGGTGACCTGGGGATCCCCCAAGGGATTCCCTTAATTTGCAAGGATTTCCTTTCACTTCCTGCTTGGCTATGGGACAGGAAGTGAAGGGAAATCTCCACAATGGAAAACAGAGGGGTTATAACCCTCTCTTAGGCTATCCAAAATGATAAAGAAAATGTTTGCCTATTGTTCTACTTTAACTCTCAGCATGTACGAAAACAATAGAAAGGAGGAAATGCCTTTCTATAAAACGAGACCTTGCAAATTGCAAATGCAATTTTTTAAGTGGCTCAAGGGACCCATTTACCAACTCCAACTAAAGAGGAGCAAGTTAAAAGAAACACAGTGTGACAGCAAAAGTCGAGCACGGTTCCCCCCGTCCCCATCTCTTTTCTTGCATCTTTCAAAACACTCACTTGATGCTGAAGGGCCTAGAGGCATCAATGGGAAGCCAAGACTTCTGGTCCACTAACTTTGGGGAAACTAGCCTGCATGAAGTTGTACAAAAGCTTCACAAACTTGTGGGGGTGATGTACCAGTTTACTGTTCCTCAGAGTTTAGGAGGGCTAGACATTGGTCAGTAAGTGTAGCAAATAGAAAAATGTAGCTAGTAGGAGTAAAACATGCTTCAGGTTCAGTGGTCAGATACATTAAATAATGTGCCATGGCTGGTAGTCAGTGGAAGTTAATAAGTAAATAAAACTACTGAGCACTTGTGGTTGAATAAGGCTACAATGTGCCAATAGGAGAAATAGCACTCCAAAGGCCTAAAAAGGCAAGCAAAGGACCACATCTGGCCTGCAGTTGCGGACTGCTGCTTTAGTAATTCTTAGGATGGGGCCCTTCTTTAACAAAATAAAAAAGTACCACACTGCTTCTATAAAATGACAAAAACATAAAAAAGGCTGATGGCATCCCAAATTAGGTAATTTAAACCAATCTAATGATTTGGTAATCTCTCATCTGAGAATATTTCAAATTACACTTTTTTCACTTGCACGGTTACAGCTGCCTAACCATTTCAATACCGGGCAATTTTACACCTTCCTGCCCAGGCCATTTTTCACGTTTCAGCGCTCTCACACTTTGAATGACAATTGCGCAGTCATACAACATTGTACCCAAACTAAAATTTTAGCATTTTCTTCACACAACTAGAGCTTTCTTTTGGTGGTATTTAATCACCGCTGGGGTTTTTATTTTTTGCTAAATTAACAAAAAAAGACCAAAAATTTTCAAAAAAAACACACATTTTTCTTTGTTTCTGTTATAAAAGTTTACAAATAAATAATTGTTGTTCATAAATTTAGGCCAAGATGTATTCTGCTACATGTCTTTGGTGAAAATAACCCAAATTAGGATGTATTATTTAGTTTGTAGGAATGTTATAGAGTTCACAAACTATGGTATAGATCTGAAAATTGATCAATCCTGAAGTACTGACAGCCAATCTAATTTCTTGAGGTCCAAGAATGTCAGAATAGTACAGATATAGTGAAATGAAAAAATTAAAACAATTATTTTCACTATTTTTTTTTTTTACATACTGTCACCAGTGCAGTACAGCATCATCATATAACTGGCATGGCGGTGATCAGGGACACTGACTGGTGACAGTATGAAAAAAAAATATATTTTTTTTTTGTTATTTTTAATTTATTAAATTTTTTTTATTTTTTTAAAGATTTTTTTTTCATATTTTACTATGACCAAAGTAGTACAATGTTACCATAGTAACATTGTACTACTTTGGGGAAGTGATCAGTATTTTTTTTTTTTTTTTTTTTTTACACAATTTGCTTATAGCAAAGAATTACTTTGCTATAAGCAAAGCATTTACCTGAATGAAATCGATTCATTCAGGTTTTTTTTTTTGTGCTTAGCTGTGATTTGGCCACAGCTAATCACATGACATGTGCATGTGACCTGCTGTGACCATTCACAGCTAGGCACTAGTATACAATGGATGGCATGAATGAAGCCATCCATTGTATACAACTGTCATGTGACCTGCTGTGATTGGTCACAGCAGGTCACATGGTACCGGCAACGGGAGCCGGTACTCAGATCTGTCACGGCCGTGTCCAAGGTACACGGCCGGTGACAGATCGCGCCGCTGCGCGGCTCTGCAACCGCGCATGTGCGGGAGCACGCCACCCAGAAAGCTAAAGCGCTTTTGATGCCGCCAAATGGCTATAGGCCGGGCGGCTAATGGTTAATATAACATGGTCACAAAAGCGAAAAAAAAAAAAAGTGAAATAGTGCTGCAATCTGCGCCCACACATGTTCCCCCATCGTTACATCATTATGCTGCTGCAATCTCACAGAAGGAGCAACAAATTATTTACCATCACTAACAAAAACGCGTTGTGTGATGCACTATACTGTAGTAGCATCAGCTACATTCAGTGGATGGCACGGTGTTCTGGAAGCAGCAGGAGCAACTTCCTGTCTGCTGCTGGAACTGAATCCAGTTGACTTGAATGCTTCTCCACTATTCAGGAGTAACCTTGTAATTTTATCAATGAATACAAGGCTTCCTTTGATTGGTGGAGGTGGAAATCATGACATCATCCGCCCACCTCTCCACCTTGCCACAGAAAGCTTTGTAGTCATTGATAAAAATACAAGGCTTCGACTGAATGGTGGAGAAGCAGCTTACTGTATGTAGCTGATGCTACTACAGTATAATACAGTGCAGAGGACACATTAGTTAAAATTGGAAAAAATAGTTATTTTGGGACAGATTGGCTAAAAGAGGCTATAATGAGGACTATCATGAACACACAATTACACATACCCTTCATGGAAGATAGGCACTCCAGCGTGATACTGACATACTTCGTCATTACTCTGTGGTCCAACAAATGTCTGAGGGGAAAAATATGAAGAAATGCTTAAAAGTGCACTAAGAGACATCTTCAACATCATAAAAGGTGTAATTGTGTGACACTTTCCCAACAGAGAGGCTGAAGCATGAAAGGACAGGACTGGATAGAAGCTGTACAAGGGAAGGTGAAATAATTGGATTGAAGAGGGAGATGGCAGACATCTATGGATATAACATGGTATAAAACGGTCTAAATTAAGAAATCTATTTGTACCTTTGTGCAGCCACCATTTTTACAAAAAGTTCCAATTTTGATCTCTCCGTTGTCCTCATCTAAAAACAAACAGGAGACATTGGTACATTTTTTCATGAATGAAAATCATCTGGTTCCAGTTAGCATCCACTAGATGTTTTCGGGGCTCTACGAAACATCGAGATCTGCATGTACCTAAAGATGTCCATGTCTCTGGATTTACTTCTCAGTTTGATAGGTAGTTTGGTAGGTTCTGTATGTCAGTTTGTGATAGATTTACTTTAAGTAGTTAAAATACACAGGCAAGCACTTTTCAAAATAGAAAATGCAGTTTTTGCTGCAATATACTACTTTTTCTGCGATATTCACCTTTCAACCCTGAGCTGTCGCAAGCAGCAACACCACTATAACACTAGATGTCACCAGTCTTCGTGGCTGAATGACAGGTAATCATTTAAGTCCCTTCCTCTGAGCCCAGGTTACATAGTTAATCTGGCTGAAATAAAAGACACAAGTCCATTCAGTTCAACCAACAGAAAAAAAAACATAAAAAACAAAAAAAAAAAACAAAAACACAACACATACACAAATAGACAACCTCCATATACATGATCCAATACCCACAGGTGATTCAAAAAAGACAAAAGACGCCCTCAATAAAAGCATGATCCAATTTGGCCCCAGTGGCAGAAAAAAAATTCTTCCCGATTCCCCAAGAGGCAAATCGGATATTCCCTGGATCAACGTTACCTATAAATATTAGTATCCAGTGATATTCTGTATATCTAGGAAAGAATACAGGCCTTTCTTGAAACAATCTACTAATCTCGTCAGAACTCACTCTTGAGATAGTCTATTCCCTATTTTCAGCTCTGTGAAGAAGACTTTCTGTACTTGGAGATTAAATCTCTTTTCCTGAGAGGTAAAGCGTGCCCCCCTTGTCCTCTGTGATGACCTTAAAGTGTTACTAAACCCAAAACAGTAGAATCAGTCTGTATATGCAATAATGCATATTTGATATACTCAGTATGGAACCTAAGGGGTTAATCCTCTGCACTGTGTAAAAATGCTGTTTGATCCTGACCACCTTCCAGTGCACCAGTCCTATCACCTGATAAGACCTGTGGTGTGGAGACACTCTGCACATGCTTAGTTTGGTGTGTACTGCTTTTTTTTTTTTTTTTCTTGGGAGAGTGCAGGTGATCAGCACAGGGACAATCAGCACTGTCCAGACAGAGGTAAGAGGTTCTGTATCCTCCTGGAACAGAAAGAAAACTCCTCCTACAAGCTTTAACCAGTGTTCAGCTGGACAATGACAGAAGTCACAAGACTGCTCTAACTGCTGATGAGAAAAGGTATTTAGCAGTTTATATTTACTAAAATTGCATTTCCATGTAGTGTACTGTGGGAGACAGGATATAGTTAATGCAGGGTCCTGGGTTTAGTAACACTTTAAAGTGAATAACTCTACACCAAGTTCACTATATGGACCACTGATGTATTTATACATGTTGGTCATATCCCCCCTTAATCTCCTCTTCTCAAGAAAGAATAAATTCAGTTCCTCATAGCTGAGCTCCTCCATGCCTCTTATCAGTTTGGTTGCCCTCCTCTGCACGCTCTCTAGTTCCCCAATGTTCTTTTTGTGAATTGGTACCCATAACTGAACTGCATATTCCAGATAAGGTATTATTAATGATTTGTACAAGGGAAAAATATCTCTCTCTCTCTCTGCAGTCCATAAATGTTAATATAAAAAAGAGGATTTTGCTCAGTTTGGAAACCACAGCTTGGCATTGCATGCTATGATTAAGCTTGTAATCTACCAGAACACCCAGATCCTTCACCGTTGAATGAACACATCCCCATCCCCTCATGTTTTGCATTGTATTGTATTGTTATTGTTCTGTCCCCCATTGTAATGTACAGCGCTGAGCGAACTATTGGCGCTTTATAAATACTGTATAATAATAATCCCCAAGGAGTTAATCGTGTCACTCTGGGTTCTGAGCTCTGTTGCATTGAACAACCCTCAGACATCATTATGTGAATGCCGTTCAGTGCAGACGTACAAGACTAACCATTGTGAGCACCAGAGAAAGAAGCCCTGACATCACCCGTAGTTAAGTGAAGGTCATCAGGAGGAACCACTGAACACTGCTGAGATACCTCAGACTTCCAGAAATGTCAGTTTCCTAAATAACATCAGTGGCAGGTTTCTCTACAGGTGGTTGGCATTCAGCAGCATGTAAAAAAAAACTTTGTTCTTTTAGAAAGAAATGTTTTAATGAACACTGCTTATGCAATAAAAAATAATTTAAAAAACTAGGAGTTCTGCTAAAGAAAACCTTTCATTCAAAACAAATACAAACACACAGGAGCAGTAATGGAAAATAAAAAAAACTGGTCCGTATCCAGACTGTGTAATTCAACCTTATTTAAATCAATAAAACAGTCCATTGCTCCGTGCTGACGTTGGTCAGATCGGCTTGTCGTGGTCAGCCCACTGCACCAATGGATTAAGCTGAAGAGCCTCTGGAAAGAATGTATTTTTCCATCTCTTTTCTCAGATCAGTAATCATATCCTGTTGCTTTTTATAGGCACATAAGCAGCAAGGTCGAAGTAACAGCACCGTGTTCAGCAACAAAAACAATGTGTCCTACACTGTGCTAGTCAAGCAGTGAGGCGAACACATAGAAATATGTCCGCCATGGAGGAGATAATAAACTAAAATGGAGGCCAAAACCCACTTGTCTAGAAAATACAGCACTGTAGAAATAGATGCAGGAAGCAAGCTCCAGCTTTGGTGAACCAGTGATAAGGCAAGCTGCTATTGTTTCCTCCAAAATAATTCAAACATCAAGAGTGCATGGCAGGACTCTGTATTTCTAGGACAATAGTAAACCACCAATCTTCTGCATGTATTAAAGTCAGCATAATTAAAAAACAAAACAAAAATCCAGACAGCTAATGTCTGATTTTTCCCCATTGTTGAATATTCTTTACAACCCAGAGCTCCCAGACAGTTTATCCCACCCGAGGAAATTAGGAAAAAACACTCCGCGATATCGCTTTCTGCTCATTACGCCTACATGCAATTCCACCATTTCTTCCAATCCTTGAATGGATCCCGGACTTTAGTGTGCCCTACAGATTTTGAATGTTTAGCCATGAAGGAACCCTCCCATTGAGGTCTCATATCCTCCCTGTATAGACAATTCTTAATGTAGACTCATCGATAGAAATCTCCCATCAGTATATGAAGAAGTGGGCGACAGAACTTCAAATCCCGATCTCTCTGCCTTGTTGGCGGCAAATCTGGTACTCCACTGCCAAGACTTCCAGATGTGCGATATATGGAGAAAATCTTTCCAAAATAATGATGCATTGGTATAAAACACCGGTTGTCCTTTATGCGATGAACCCGTGCCTTTATGGTCAAAGTTGGAGAGGTCGTAAGGATAAGGGCTCCATGGCTCATATTTTCTGGTTTTGTCCCCTGATTAGAGACTATTGGGAGGTGGTTAGAGAGGTGCTGAAACGGGTACTTGATGTTGTCCTCCCCCTGGATCTTTTGCACTACCTCCTTGGTCTCCCTTTTAAAGGGTTCCTAAGCATTCTAAAAAATTAAGCACACGTATTTTAAACGGCCGTCATACCAGTGATTCTGGAAATCTGTTGAGACACCTACTTTAAATTTTCTTTTGCAAACAATTTCCGCTGTACGTAAAATCGGAGTATCTTACTGACTTAGCGGGTAATTACCCTGGCCAGTTTGCAGCTGTCTGGGAGCTATGGGATCAATCCTCTTATAGCAAATGAGTTGGATTGTCTTGAAGCTTTGTTAATCACTATATTAATTACTGCTGCCTGCCATTTAGCCATGCTATTGTCCTATGTCTGAACTGGTTATTCGTTCTTGTTTTTTATTCTGTGTACATATATGTTGATGTGGGTGTATTTACACCCTTATTTGTATGTGTGTAAAATTGGGCTTCAGTCTGCAATAAAAAATTACAATATAAAAAACAAACAAACCATAACATACGCCATATATTGTTATTAAAGAGGAGCTTCAATTTCCTGTGTAAAAATAAAACGTCAGCACCTACAAATTTGTAGCTGCTGACTTTTAACAAGAGACAGCCACTTACCTATCCCATGATCCAGCGCTGTGCTCGCCTCAGATGTTTTCACCTCCCATCTTCTGTTCTTGGCCGCTTAAAAGGGATAGTTCACCTTTACCAAAAAGTTGCCTATGAAGATAAGGGGTGTCTGTAGATAAAAACAAAAATGTGCAGCTCTGACTAAAGTTGAATAATGCCCTTGTTATAGATGGAGGCCATTTACTTACCTCCTGAAGCCTGACTAGAAAAAACGCTCAGGACATTGCAATGTGAGGCCTAGTAATTACTGCTCACCTCCACCATCACAGGAGTGAGCTCTCAGACGCTGAGCTCAGAGTTACTGCATTAGGGGAGAGAAAGTGCATGTGAGGGTTTTGGATTCAGAGAAAAAGCTCACTCCTGTGAGAGTGGAGGTGAGTAGCAATGACTAGGCCTCACTTGGCAACGTCCTGTCCTGGGAGTATTCCAGTCAGGCTTCAGGATTTACATAAATGGCCTACATCAAAGACATTATTCAACTTTACCCGGGGCACACAGTTTGTTTTTATCCACAGAAGCCCATTATCTGTATAGGCAGGTTTCTGGGAAAAGGTGAACACTTTAATTGTGGACACCCGGCTGTGACCCCTTGTGGCAGCCGGGTGCCCACTGTGCATGCGCAAGCTGATCTGCGCATTGTGAATGGTCCCATTAGAGAGTCGAAGCGGAAGCGGGTACCTATCAAAATCACATACCTGCTCCCCCCTTTCCCCCAAAAGAGTCATTTCATTACCAGAAGTGGTGGAGGAGGCCTTTTTGTGCCTTCCTCTGGATCAACTGTGGGTATAGGATTATAACTTTTTTTTTTTTTTATGGTTGAACTGAATGGACTTTTGTCTTTTTTCAGCCAGACTAACTATGTAACTATGAACAGCAAGCTGTGTCTTCACGAATCACACTGCAGAGAGCACTGCTGTTATAGGTGGGGAAGCAGTTGCAAAACAGAAAATCATCTGTCAGAATCCACATATCTTTAGCACTCCATATCAAGTGACTCCCCAGCAGCTCTGCACGGTGGATGCCAACATCTGAATTCATTTTCACTGAAGACTCTGCTGACTGACCTTACCTGTATTGCTGCTACTAATTTTGAGAACCTTGATCCCTAAATTGAACACCAGCAGACCTTCAATTTTTAACTGATACGTATGGAATTTTATTTTTTTTACATCCACCCCTGCCTCTCTACTGGCTCAGTAGTTTTTTGTTGCAGATCAGCTCAGAGTATTTCATTACTTTTTAACAGCGTGCATGTTTTCTTTTTTTTATGACAAATCTGCTATAAAGCGGAACTAAAGAGGTGAATACTTACCGTATTTTCCAGCGTATAAGACGACTTTTCACACTAAAAAAAAATCCCCCAAAAATCAGGGGTCGTATTATACGCCGGGTATACACCAGAAAACTGTCCATCCCGGGAGCTGAGGTAACATGGAGGGCACATCTTCAACATCCCCAAGTGAAAGATTGCCAATAATTAATTTATTTAATCAAATAATTTACCCCGTTGGATGTAGCTTCTTATCTTCGGCTGGATGTGCCGCTGGAAGCTCTATGTAGCTTCGGCTTCAGAACGTCTCTGTGCTGACACTCTCCCGCACTGAGCCAATCATGGCAAGCCTGCTCGGATTGGCAAAGGTTGAATAGACTGCCTCTCTAACTCAGCCAATCCGAGCAGGCTTTTTATGCATACGAATTATGAATACACCGCTTGCCGTGATTGGCTCAGCGCAGTTCATACAGTGTCAGCACAGGGACGTTCTGTAGCCGAAGCCACAGTATTATAGAGCACATCCAGCGGCCTCAAAAGGTAAATACGATCTTATATTCTGTATGTAGCCGAATCTACAAGCATATCCAGTGGGCTAAAATGTAATAATGGGGACATTATGTACGGTATGTTTATACACTGTATTCTAGTAAAAAGCCTGCTCAGATTGGCCAGAGTCAGAGAGGCAGTCTATTACCACCTTTGCCAATCCAAGCAGGCTTGTTGTGATTGGCCTTCCATTTATGTGATGTTCGAAAAAATGTAATTCAATAAAAATTTATTTAAAAAAAAAAAACAAAACAAAAAAACTGGTGTCGCGGGAAGTGGGAGGTAGTCTTATACAGCGAGTATAGGCCAAAACCTATGTTTTAACTGTAAAATTAGGGGGTCGTCTTATACACCCAGTCGCCTTATACGCCAGAAAATACGGTATTTGTCCGACAGTCCCTATCTGGCATCTTCTTCTGAGTGCCGGTCTTCAGGTCTCTTCATTGGCTGGTGGAGGATGGCGTCACTCCTGGGCATAGGGTTAGTCATCCTGGTAGAGACCAGCCTGGCACTGTACGCTGAGATGCACAGCTCAGTTTACAGCGCCGAAGACAACAGCAAGCAGGCAGATAGGAGCATTTTATTGCAGAAGAGACAGTTTGTGTCTCTTCTGCAATAAAAGCCTGCCTGCTCACTGCTTCTTACAGCAGAACTTCATTTCTACTTTAATACAAAAGTTCCTACTGTAAATATAACTGGATACCCTCTCCTTTCAATGAAAAAAGCTTTTTCAGACTACCATTCAGAATGTCATTTTGGAATGCATGAACTGAACCAGCATATTTTACCAGCAGGGAAGCATTAAAAATAGTAAATCAGGAATTGCAGCTTAAATCCTAATAAAATTGAAGGAGCCAGTTTGAGCCCAAATACATTAGAAAACAAAATTGATTATCCGGTGTGATAAAAGCCCCTTTGAAATCAATTTTGTCTTTGAAGACTGTCGAGGTACAGTGGTCTTTAAACAAAGAAACTTCATACCTGTTTCTGTCTTCGTGTCGTTGGAGGAAAGTTTCAGTTTATCAAGTGCTTGCTTCAAAGAAGACGATACCCTCAGCTCTAAACGCGTCAAAGGCTCGTCTGCGCTGTAAAGACATTACATAGTAAAAGGAGCCAGAAAACGGAATACCACGTTCAGCATCACACAAACAGTAAGCAACTTACCAACAAAGAGTTATGCACATGTTTTTATACTCCATAGACTGATGGCTGAGACATTACTTCCCAGGAACGAACAGAAGCAATATGCAGATGTACCTTCTAAAAAAGCTGCAACATTGAATCTTTATCAGAGCCAAGAGCGCAAAGAAAACCTCTGTGCTGTGCCTAGCCTTTTTCAACCAGGGTGCCCTTCAGGAGTTCCTTGGAAAAAATGCCTTAACCCCCCCCCCCCCCCAAATATTGTATATGAACAAGCTAGGGGATGAAGCCTGCCTTTTAGTTGCACAAAGCCATGGGTTTTCATTGTGCACCCTTACAACCTTCCAGCCTCCTAACAACCAATGATGTCATTGGTTGATAAGGAGGACATCCGAAACCTACACAGCTTCCTTGTTTTCCCCTCTTCTGCCCCTCTCTGCCATCATTGGGGTCACATTAGCAGACTGAGGGGAGAGAAACGTATGGGAAAGAGAAACACTGGAATATTAGTCAGTACCAGTGTGCAAGGTGGATTTGCTTTGGAAGAATAATCACCTCTAACATTGGGTGTCCTACATGTGTGGATATTGCTGCTTTATTTAAAACTATTAGTTTTTTTTTTTTTTTACATTTTAGAATACGGTGCCTTGAGATTGTTCATAGTTTTTAAAGGGTGCCTTGGCTGAATAAAAGGTTGAGAGACACTGCATTAGACACAGCACACAATAATGCCAGGGTTTTCAGTTCTGACAGAAGAGCTCACCTTAAATCGAACGAATCGAAATTCTAAACCCTCGTATCCTTAACAGCCAAGGAAGCAGACATCTTAGACTCTTTTCATGCTTTCAGCTTTCACAAGTGATCAGTTATGGCACCAACCATATGATGGCTTGACAGTTTGCACCACAAGCAACTGTGACTGTTATCAGTATGCCTCGAATGGGAGTGTTTTGGGAAGTAGTTAAATCAATGGGTTTAGGCAAAACTTTTTTTCTTAAAAGTGGTTCTAAAGGCTCGAGGTTTTATACCTTCATGCATTCTATGCATGAAGTTAAAAACCGTTCTAAGAACAGCAGCTCCACCAGTACCCTCAATACTTACCTGAGCCTCATCACGATCCAACAATGTGAATGACAGCCTCGGCTGTTTCGGGTCTCTGCCGCCTCATTGGCTGAGACAACAAGCAGGAGCCACTGGCTCCCACTGCTGTCAGTCACAGCCAGTCAGCCAATGAGGAAAGAGAGGGGGAAGGGCCAAGCTGCAGCTCCATGTGTGAATGGACACAGAGCAGCAGGTACCCCCATTGCAAGCTGCTTTGCTGTGGGGCTACCCAACAGACAGGAGGAGCGAGGAGAGCCTGCGGGGGAACCGGGAAGAGGAGGATGCAGGTTGCTCTGTGCAAAACCACTGCACACAACAGTTAAGAATAATTTTTTTTTTTTGTAAAACAAACAATGAACCTTTAGAATCGCTTTAAGCTTTGATGGGGTATTGATGAGACAGTGTGTCCTCTACATAGATTTGCACATTTGAAACAACAATTCTGCTTTAACCACTTGCCCTCCAGAACATTTACCCCCCTTCCTGACCAGGCCATTTTTTGAGATACAACGCTACATTACTTTAACTGATAAAGTAATGCAATGCTGCACCCAAATTAAATTTATGTTCTTTTATTTTCCCTAAAAATAGAGCTTTCTTTTGGTGGTATTTGATCACCTCTACATTTTTTATTTTTTGCGCTATAAAACAAAAAAAAAAAAAATTTTGAAAAAAAAAAAAAAAGAACCCCCCCCCCCCAAAAAAAAACAACACAGTATTTTTGACTTATTACTATAACACATATCCAATTAAAAAAAAAAAAAATTTCAGAAATTTAGGCCCAAATGTGTTCTGCTACGTCTTTGCTAAAAATAAAAAAAATATCACAGTAAGTGTATATTAATTGGTTTACGTGAAATGTATAGCATCTATAAATGGCGGTATATATACTGGAATTTTTATACCAGTAATGGTGGCAATCAGAGATATCATATAGCGGGATTGTGAGACTACGGTGGGCATTCTGACACTGGGTCAGAACTGACTAATTGCAACTGACATCTCCAGTGACACAAATACAGTGATCAGTGCTAAAAACACTGACACTGTACTAATGACACTGGGCAAAAAGAGGTTAACATCTGGGGCGATCAAAGGGTTAACAGTGTGCGATTTACTGTGTGTACTGTGTTGCGTTTTACTTGGGAGACATGCTGCTGTGTATTTCTCTGCTGTGCAGAGAGATACAAAGCAGCATGTCCATGCTGACAGGAGAGATTGGTGTTTACACACCGATCTCTCTCCCCCTCAGCCCTGCTGTTGATCACCGAGTCACGCAAAGGAATCGCTGTCCGGGACCCGGTGATTGACATATCCAGCAGCCAACAGTGGCACGGATAGTGCAACCATGATTTTGTGCCGTGGATCCACCCTGTAGCAGTATATCTGCTATGGGCAGCTTTTAAGTGGTTAATACAACAGAGTGTTCGTTATTCCTTCGATTTATTATTATACAGGATTTATATAGTGCCAACGTTTTGCTCAGCGCTTTACATTATAGTGAGAGACAATGCAGTAACGATATAGTTCAATACAAGAGGGATTTGAGGGCCCTGCTCCTTGGAGCTTACAATCTAGGAGGGAGGGGTTAACGGTACAATAGGTAATAACTGTGGGGGATGGAGTGGTTGGAAGAGTAGAGGAATCCAGTTTTAGCAGAGGGCGGGATAGGCTTCCCTAAAGAGATAGGTTTTCAGTGATTGCCTAAAAGTAGTAGGCCTAGTGTACACTATGGAAATGTGAGTGGGCAATATAATATTCTCCTGGCTAGCAATAAAAGTATTTGCAGTATCATGCTATGGAGGTTCTGTTCTGTTTGCTATGACCCTATGGTGAAAAACGATACATGCGAGTGCCAGGTACAAGAGATTGATCCAGAGCATTGGAGGCTACTAGGCATCCAGGATGGTTCATCTGGAGACGTGGTCATCTCTTGGTTATGTGGATATTCCACTAAGCGAGTAGGCCCTTGTGGTCATATTAAGGAGGTGAGGAGGCACTTTGGCCACTTACGGACATCACATCACAAGTGTGTGGCACTTATTGTCACTTATTTTTCACACGACTCTGGAAGCAGCATTCATGATGGACTGGAGTGGGGATAGCCTGCAATGAGGTAGGCCAATGAGGAGGGAGTTACAATAATCAAGGCGAGATATAACAAGGGAGTGAATAAGTTGCTTAGTGGTTTCCAGGGTTAGGAACGGTCGTATCTTGGAGATGTTGCGGAGGTGAAGTCTACATGATTTTGTCAGCGATTGGATCTGGGGCTGGAAGGACAAATGGGAGTCTAGGATTACCCCTAGTACCCTGGCCTGAGGGGATGGACTGATGATTGTGTTATCGATATTTATGGTGAAGTCAGTGGAAGTGGTGCGGGCTGGGGGGAATACGAAGAGCTCAGTTTTGGAAAGGTTGAGTTTGAGGAAGTGGAGTGACATCCAATCCGATATGTCACTTAGTAGGCTAGTGATGCGAGTGGAGACTGAAGGGGTGAGGTGAGGGGTAGATAGATTTGCGTGTCATCAGCATAGAGATGGTAACTGAAGCCGTGGGAGTTAATCAAGTGACCAAGGGAGGAGGTGTAGATGGAGAAGAGAAGGGGTCCAAGGAGAGAACCTTGAGGGATCCCTACAGAGAGAGGGAGTGAAGAGGAGGTGGCAGCGTTCTAGGTAACACTGAAGGAGCGCTGTGATAGGTAGGAGGAGAACCAGGAGATGCGGAGTCTCTGAGGCCAAGAGAGTGTAGTTTTTTGAGGACGAAGGATGGTCAACCGTATCAAAAGCCTCCGAGAGGTCGAGTAGTAGGAGTATTGAATAGTAGATTTAGGATTCACACTGCACCACTGTCGGCTAGGCTCCCTTCTATACTATGGGTCATAGGCCAGGACACTGATGTTAGGTTCTCATTGCTGTCCACTTCCCCACTTGTGAGATTTACACCTCTATTTGTCCCAGCGACCACTGTCAAGGAACTAAAAGTGGTCACCAGACCAAAGGTGGAGGATACTCTATCCAATTGGGACAAAATATTCTAGTTAAACAGTCATATGGGAATTTCCCTCACTCAAAGAAGCGCTCTCCCCTTGTTTCCTATTGTAACTACAGAACAAGTTTTGAAGCGAAATCTCCCTAGCATGATACAAAGCAAAAAATAGAGCCATTTAAGCCTTCTCTACTCTAGCCAAGACGCAGAACTACATACACTATCATTTCTACTGAAAGCTTCCACTTACCTAGGCCTCTTAATGGATTCTATAGGCTTTGGTGCTTGTATGATGTGTTCATTGAACTTTGGCTTTACTTCTGCCATTTCTTTTTTCTCTCTGATGCCTTCACCTCTGGTTTTACAGGTTCCGGAGGCTTCTCATTACTGTGGAGCCCCTTAGTACAGCCCTGCAATTATCCACAAAAAGGTCATTAAAATGATCATGGCAGAACTTAACTGTATCTGAGCACCACAGACTGAAATGGTTACTTAAAGTGGTTATAAAGACAGATTTTTATTTGTTTTTTTACCTTAATGCATTCTTTGCTTTAAGGCAAAAAAAACACTCTGTGATCAGCAGCCCCCCAACTATTTGCCTGAGCCGGATGCTGATCCAGCACTGCGCCCAACAGCAGTAGCTCTCTCCTCTCTCTCACCTCACTGGACATGGAGGAAACAGTGGGAGTCATTGGCTCCTGCTGCTGTTAATGAAATCCTGTGAGGAAGGACTGGGAGATGGAGGAGGGGGGGTCGTGTGTCAATAGACAAGTGCATTCATATGAAACAGCTTGCTATGTGGGCACTCAGATGGGAGGAGGAGACGACAGCATGGCGTGGGACCCCAGAAGTGGAGGCTTGGGGCTGCAAAACCAATGCACATAGCAGGCAAGTAAGAAGTGTGTATATATTTTATTTAACCTTTAGAATGACTAATTTATTGCAAATGTTCAAAGAATCCATCCATATCTCCATGCTTTATTTTCTTGAGAAGTCACTTTGAAAAACACCCCCCAGCATTTCTAGCCATGGCATTCTTGACTAAGGGCAGATAATGAATGTAGCATTTACTCCCTGGAATCCATCTGCCCTTAGCTGAGGCATGCAGACAGGAGAGTGTGCTTAGTTGAGAAATCCCTTCCTCCACATGAAATGAGAAAAAAAAAAAAAAGGCCAATAAAGACTCCTGGGATGTATTACATCATTCTGGCCAAGGCCTGAAACCAGGAAGCAAAAGAAAAATTTTCAAAACAAGCAAATATACCTTCCTATCTATGTACGAATGCTAGTATCATAAGGATTAAAAACAGGTAATGTTCATTAAGTTCTGCTTTTCCTAAAGATAAATCCTAGGCAGATATCAAAGCAAATTAACGTAGTTCAGTAATCATTAATACATCATAAAATATATATTTTTTATATGCAAGCAGTGTAAGCACCTGAACTACAGTGGGGATCGAAAATTTGGGCACCCCAGCTAAAAATTTGTATTAATGTGCATAAAGAAGCCAAGGAAAGATGGAAAAATCTCCAAAAAGGCATCAAATTACAGATTAGACATTCTTATAATATGTCAACAAAAGTTAGATTTTATTTCCATCATTTACACTTTCAAAATAACAGAAAACAAAAAAATGGCGTCTGCAAAAGTTTGGGCACCGTGCAGAATTTATAGCATGCACTGCCCCCTTTGCCAAGCTGCCAGTGCCATGGATTGTTCTCAATCATCGTCTGGGAAGACCAGGTGATGTCAATCTCAAAGGTTTTAAAAATGCCCAGACTCAGCTGACCTTGCCCCAACAATCAGCACCATGGGTTCTTCTAAGCAGTTGTCTATAAAACTGAAACTGAAAATAGTTGACGTTCACAAAGCTGGAGAAGGCTATAAGAAGATAGCAAAGTGTTTTCAAATGTCAATATCCTCTGTTCGGAATGTAATGAAGAAATGGCAGTCATCAGGAACAGTGGAAGTTAAAGCAAGATCTGGAAGACCAAGAAAAATATCAGACAGGACAGCTCCCAGGATTGTGAGAAAAACAATTCAAAACCCACGTTTGACTGCACTATCCCTCCAGAAAGATCTGGCAGACACTGGAGTTGTGGTACACTATTCCACTATAAAGAGATACTTGTACAAATATGGTCTTCATGGAAGAGTCACCAGAAGAAAACCTCTTCTACGTCCTCACTACAAAAATCATCGTTTGAACTTTGCAAATGAACATATAGACAAGCCTGATGCATTTTGGAAACAAGTTCTGTGGACCGATGAGGTTAAAATTGAACTTTTTGGCCGGAATGAGCAAAGGTACGTTTGGAGAAGAAGGGGCACAGAATTTAATGAAAAGAACCTCTGTCCAACTGTTAAGCATGGGGTTGGATCAATCATGCTTTGGGGTTGTGTTGCAGCCAGTGGCACAGGGAACATCTCACGAGTAGAAGGAAAAAGGGATTCAATAAAATTTCAGCAAATTTTGGATGGTAACTTAATGCCATCTGTGAAAAAGCTGAAGTTAAAGAGAGGATGGCTTCTACAAATGGATAATGATCCTAAACACACCTCAAAATCCACGGGGGATTACATCAAGAGGTGTAAACTGAAGGTTTTGCCATGGCCTTCACAATCTCCTGACCTCAACATAATTGAAAATCTATGGATAGACCTTAAAAGAGCAGTGCGTGACAGACAGCCCAGAAATCTCAAAGAACTGGAAGACTTTTGTAAGGAAGAATGGGCAAAGATACCTCAAACAAGAAGTGAAAGACTCTTGGCTGGCTACAAAAAGCGTTTACAAGCTGTGATACTTGCCAAAGGGGGCAGTACAAGATATTAACTCTGCAGGGTGCCCAAACTTTTGCAGACGCCATTTTTTTGTTTTCTGTTATTTTGAAAGTGTAAATGATGGAAATAAAATCTAACTTTTGTTGACATATTATAGGAATGTCTAATCTGTGATCTGATGCCTTTTGGAGATTTTTCCATCTTTCCTTGGCTTCTTTATGCACATTAATACAAATTTTTAGCTGGGGTGCCCAAACTTTTGATCCCCACTGTACACTTCCTATAAGCCTCTTGTAGTCCCTGTATAGCAGGGCTCACACTAGCAGAGGGAGAAGCAGCATAAGGAACCACTCAGTTGTGCTGCCATGTAAACCATGAGCATACTGATAGGAGGAGAGAGCAAAGAGACAGATGAGCTCATCAGTCTGCAGCTTCTCCTTCACTGTCCAATCACAGGCCAAGGGCAAGGACCTGTAATTGGGGCGGCTATAAAATAGACTTTGAGATTTGGTATCACTAGGCCATATGCGCTTTCAGGACTTGTAGTGTTGCCAACCTAATTGTTTTTTGTCTCTTTTCCCAAGTTATTCTACAAAAAAAGAATAACAAATCGTCTAAAGAGAACTTGAGTTAGCAATGTAAAGAAGCTGAGGTATCTATATTATTTTAACAGATGAGATCTGCCTATAAAAGGCAGGAGCAATCTACACCAGCATTCATACATATTTATAGAGGGTCAGTACACTTAAATCTACATTTACTGGCCAATTTATTAGGTACACCTGTACAATTGCTTGGTAACACAAAAACTTCTTATCAGCCAATCCCATGGCAGCATACAATAGGCATCTAGATGTGGTGAAGACGACTAGCTGAAGTTCAAACCGAGCATCAGAATGGGGAAGAAAGGGGATTTAGGTGACTTTGAATGTGACATGGTTGTTAGTGCCAGGCGGGCTAGTCTGAGTATTTCAAAAACTGCTGATCTACTGGGATTTTCACGCTCAACCATCCCTAGGTTGACAGAGAATGGTCTGAAAAAGAGAAAATATCCAGTGAGCGGCAGTTGTGTGGATGAAAATGCCTCGTTGATGTCAGAGGAGACTGGGCAGACTTGTTGCTGCGACACTCAGATGGTAGGATCAGAATTTGGCATGAACAACATGAAAGTATGGATCTATCCTGCCCTGTTTTAACGGTTCAGGCTGGTGGTGGTGGTGTAATGGTGTGGGGGATATTTTCTTGGGACTAGCTGGTGAGTGCATAATCTTTAGGGTTCAAAGAAACTTGTATTCCCAAGTACTGAATGAACGGCTGGTGTAACCATCCCAGTGGGCAGAAGGAAGGAACTGGCTATGCCACCAGTTTTTAGAAACAATATTAACTTCACAGTTGACAAAGTGATTACGGTTGAGCATGCAGAACTCAATACTCATGTACTTTTTCAGTTTCGGCAACTATAAATATCTACTTTCTAGAATGCAGACTGCCAAGAATGAACGTTACAATCAAATAGCTAAAATCCTGCATAAGTGGGAAATATACATACAAGAAAATGTGGGATGTTTTTCAAAAAAGAGGGCAAAAACCGAGCACTTACCACAATACTAAGGAAATCTGAGAAATCAGTTGTCCTCCTTTTACAGCAAGACCAGCCCTGTGTATAGAAGACAGAAACAAGTCACAACACAGTCCCATGCCATCATATTCCACTATCCATGGAACATGTTGTAATACACGTACCTTCAGAGCATCATGAAACACTGGCACACCGGGGTGATATGTACAGGAGTCTGAAACACAACGGTAAAAAAGAATGTCACCAGCAAAAAATGGAGGCGCTGCCCAATGCAAGATTCTGTCACTCTGTACTGGACTGCGGCTTGGTGCAACACACCCCAACACAAGCATGCAAGAAACAAGTTCAGTAGAAATCTACAGTTGTGCTCAAATGTTTGCATACCCTGGTAGAAAAAGTGACATTTTGGCATTGATATTGAAACTATGATTGATCATGCCAAAAAATTGTCTTATGTAAGGATAGTGATCACATAGTTGTTTGGCACCTTTTTAAATCATAACAGAAATCATCCAAGTGGCCCTGATCAGTTTACATACCCTGGAATGTTTGACCTTGGTACAGACAAGGTGACACACACAGGTTTAAATGGCAATTAAAGGTTAATTTCCCACATCTGTGGCTTTTTAAATTGCAATTAATGTCTGTATATAAATAGTCAATGAGTTTGTTAGTTTGTGGATGCACTGAGCAGGATAGATACTGAGCCATGGGGATCAGAAAAGAACAGTCAAAAAACCTGCATAATAAAGGTAATGGAACTTTATAAACATGGAAAAGAAAAATAAAAAGATGTCCAAAGCCATGAATATACCAGTCAGTAGTGTTCAATCACTTCGGGATACAAAGAAAAACGTAACCTCAGGAGAAATACAGACTGCTCTGGTGTGGTTGTTTCAAGGAGCACAATACGACGATACTTGAACAAAAATGAACTGAATGGTGGAGTTGCCAGAAAGAAGCCTT